GAGTACGCACATACAGTAGCATTGTGCTTGAATGTCCTGCAGTTTTTTATTCCTCAAATTAAAGCATGCTATTACCTACTATCCTGCTGACAAGGCACTGCTACAGATGCAAATATCTCCAGGATTGAGTAGTAGGTGTGTCAAAAGGTCATTTCTATTGCCAGAAAATGCTGTCAATAAACTTTACTTTCCAGACATTCACCACCCATATAGGTCAGCCGATGGCTATGTAATACACATCTGTAATTAAATGTCCGTTTCATATTTGTTCATATAGCGCACGACATTTCCTTTGCTTGTTTAAACTTACTGCCGTAGTTCTGGGAAGCGCAAAGGAAGTTACATGAATGGTTCCACCCACTTCACCACACTTTTCTTGAACACGCCCACAAACCTTTTGACACGCCCACAAACCCTTTGACACACCCACAAACCTTTTGACACGCCCACTAATCTTTCTAAATGTCCACAACTCCAGCCTGCAGAGACCTACACTTGTCTCACAGCCTCAGTTAGACTCCACCCCTGTGAAAAAGAGCCACGTTCAATTGTAAGTGCCCCCCCCCATCTTCCCAGCCACAACAGAGGCAAGCCATAAAGTTACGACTTCTCATCCTTGATCATTTCCTGGTTGTGAGCTCACAGCCGTGAGGGGGGGTGGGACTCCTTAGCATGCTTGTTTTACTGTGCGTCAGAGGGTGTGGGGGTCTGCCTTCATGAAGTACCCAGCATTACCCGGTGCTTGGACGCTCCTTGGTGCTCTTATTCCGTACATCATATCCAGGGTGCTCTTTCATCCCTGTATCCCTCGCAGCTGGGAGATTCCAATTTTTAATCGTTAACCCCCCCCCCCAGCCCCCGCCTCTCTTTTTGTTTCTGGTTGCCTTCTCTTGACCACAGCATACTCTGAATTATAGAATACACCCCCTTCCCCCAGCTTAGTGACTGCGGGGGCAGATCTCGGCACACGGGGAGGATCTTGCATGCTATATCAGTCAGCATGCTGAAGTTTGGTCAAAGCCAAGTATGAATCGGTCAGTTTTTTTTTCCTCTCTGGTGGAGAGGAGTTACTGATAGGCAGATAAGCGTCACATGGTTTCTCGGTTGCCGTGGGACTACTTTAACTCGTATTTGGCTAGTTCCTGTGCTTTGTCTCCAGAGGGACTCAGAGGATCCGTCTTGCATACCGGTTTGAATTCCCTGCACGTCACCTGCCCTCTGCTTTATTCCGGGCCTGGAATCCACCGTCTCTCTCCGGAAGGCATGTGGGAATGTGGCTGGGGGTCACCAGGGGCCGGCGCTCTCGGCCCTGGCTGCTTCTGGCTATTTTCCTTTCAGTTGCCGCCTTCCAGGCCGTGGCACCGTGCGAAAGTGGGTCACATTACCAGCTGTGTGTTTCAGGAACGCACTGATGGTTTCTCCATTTCTCAACGGCCGGAGTGAGTTCCTTGGAGGGGGGTGGGGTGGGGTGGGGGTAGCGCGTTGTTAGCAAATGCTGTTAGGTAGTGATGAATGGGCCCCAAAGGTTTTTTGTCATCTTCCGGGCCCCCACCCCCCCGGAAAAATCTACCCATGTAGCTTTCAATGAATAATTTCAATTTGGCCTTGTGGTACTTTTGTTGTTAAAAAATATTTGCCCCCCCCCCCCCAAAACCATAACCAGGGACGCTGTGGCATTATCACCTGCTTAACGGCAGGTGTGTGACCCCATCCACTCTTTCACTGCGTTGCTTTAGCTAGCAAAACATATTTTTAAAAAATGTCATGGCTAACTGCCATGTGGAGCACATTACGGGGTAGCTGGGACCTAACTCAAGCTGACACCTTACACTGTACCCACCCCTTGCCAGCTTTTCCAGAACATTCTTTAACACCAGTCTTAGCGAAGGTAGTTCTTTTAACTTCTGAGTTGTTTTTTTTTTTCCCTTAATGATTCAGTCTGACTGGTTATTGAACCCAGCAAGTCTTTAACTTTATTTCTGATAACAATAAAGACATTCCACTGTGTTTTTTTTTCCCCCTCTCCCAAACTTCCACTTTGCCATGTACCATTCCTTCTTGCCATAAGAGCCGGGCCTGATTGCTTTTTGTTTATTTGAAGGGCCCAGGTTGAATCAGTGACGTCTGGTGCATCCCTCGTCCCTCGTCCCCTGCCCCTGTAGCCTGCATGGTTTGTGTGTTCGCATGCCTGTCTGTCCTTTCGAACACATTTTGCACAGCAGAAGAGCAGTAGGTAGCCGGTGTGTTCTGCAGTGTCAGAACGCGAAAGTCAATGGCAGTCTGATCCGATTCCTTTATTTTTGCTTGGGGAACGAGGAAGCAGAGAGACTCTTCTTGTCTTTACAACATGTGCTTTTTACTTGTAAAGAAAACGTGAACCTGGAACTACTTAAAACGTTTCAATATTTTACGAAAACCTTTATCTCGCACTTGTGACATACAGACGATAGATTTTATCGTATTTATGTAGAATGTTATAGGTAAACTTCACGGAATACAGAACCTGTTAGGCTGCCTGTGTTTTTCTGTTTTTTATTTCTGTTTTTTTCTTTCCTCTGTGGAAGTTCTTGGGGTGGGAAGGGTGGGAGGGATTAAGAGGTGATGGGGTGGACGTTCTGGAGAACATCTGGAGTCTACAAAGGGCTTTTTCCAGATATTGGACAAATACGTCATCATCAGGTCGTCTGAACCACTTCAGCCAGTAATATCTGCGACCACTGTGGTTTAACAACATTTTGCATTCTTTAAAAAGAAACAGAAAAATATAAAAAATCTTGTTTTCATTGTTACAAAGCAGAGCTTTTATTGGGACCTCTGACAGTTGTCTATGACACCAACTATAAAATATCGGGATTTTCAAAGCGAACACGTCTTGGTTTTGATTTTGTGGGACCCATCAGGTTATTTTTTCTCTTGCTCTAAATGATGCGCTGAAGTTTCACACACACACACACACACGCAGGCCTAAATCCATCCACGTGAACTCTCACATATCGTGCCTTTGATTTACTGATCCGGATGTGTTAGCGCGACTTTAGCGCTTGCGCGCGCTGGCACAGTCCAGTCCCGGCCCTCAGAGGTGACTTTCGCTGTCAGCCGACGTCTCCGGAGCCCGTTCCGTTTTCTCGCATGACGGGCCTGACGGCTCAGCCTCCTGAGTCGGGCGTTTTGTCTCACTTAAGATTTGAGGGTACATCACGGCCACTTGGCGGCGGAGGTCACGACTCCACACGACTCGCCGATCTCTCGAAAGTTTGCTGGCTTATCCTTCCATTTACATTGTTTGACATACTTCTATTCTCTGCATTTTGAAGTTTTTTAAGGTTGCTCGATATCATACTGTTCTGTTATTTCGACATGTTGATTTCGGTATGAACTGATGTATCGATGGTCGTGGGTCCCATTGTGCTAGCTATTATCTTGTAGAAGGTGTTTTTAAGCTTGATTTTACATAGTTACTTTCTCTTGGGCTTTACATTTTCTTGACGGGCAAACAGATTTACTTTTTTGCATTTTTTTAATATCTCTAATAGCCGACCGTGTCTTTTTTTTCTCAGCTCCACTTCAAGACAGTTGTTAGACGTCCAGTATTTTTTTGAATTATTCTTATTTTTTACCAATCTGACGAGTTGTCATTCTTGTGGTGTAAATAAAAATGTTTCACTTAACAGCATGTTTTCCCCCCCTCCCCTTTCTTTTTTGATCCATATTACGAAGCTCCTGTTTGTCA